TCGCTTCTCCATTTTCAGACATTCTCTTTCATCTCAGTTCCCTTCCCACTTTCAGTCACACTTTCGAAATGTCTTTCGCTTGGAGAGCGACAGCCCCGAATAGTTGTCAAATATTTTTAGAAGCTATGCCCCATTATCAGTTTTGTTTTTACCCCCCATTCTGTGCGTCGCGAAATATTCCGAGTATTCCAAGAGCACCCAACCACATTTCCACCCCGATCTCTGTGATCAACAGCCGGTTTTTGTGTTTCCCTCCACGTTTCATTGGATTCCCGTTCAGCTCACTTTGGATCACAAGAACAAAGGGCAAACAACATTTCTAGCATTATGAGAAGTGGATAAATAAAGCGGACTTTCCGTTTTGGTAGTAGTTCGCTTTATTAGGAATCGACAGTAGCTTGGTTTTCAAAACGCTGAACTATGGGTGGTAGCAAAAGCTACTGACTCATTTCCATGCCCCGAACGCGTGCGCCACTTTAAGTACTTTGAATTATTATCAGCAGCAGACTGCTATTTATTTGCCAGTGATTTATGATTTTCAAGCAAACTATGTTAATGTCATTGGCACCTCCCATAATTGCCATATTTGCTAGGAGTGTGGAAGACGCACTTCCATTAACCTGATAATGCCTTGCGCTCGGGGTCTTTCCAAGGAATCAATTCACAACTTACAGCACAATTTAGCTGTCAATCATCTACGATGTCTATGCCAATCAATCTGAAATCGGCCAATCCATCGCAAAGTTCGAGTTTATTTAGTAATTATATTTTCCATCTTGTCATAGACGGTAATTTATGTGCCGACCCTTTGGACTCAGCAGACTATTATGTCAGCTGTTGAATTCCTTCATATTGACTTCCCCGTGCCACACCGCTTATTTTGGGTCTTATCAATGCTTAGTTGCCCAGAATTTATTGATTAATAAAGAGCGAAAAGCTGCAAGTAAAACAAGCAGGCATTATTGTAGATATCAAGAATTACGATTCTCGCCCTTTGCACTGCGAAACCAAAACTTAGTCAAATAACCTGCCATTGTCGAATAGCTACAACTTCTGATATACCCAATTTGATAAGGGGCTGAGCTACGGCTGATAAGTCATTGTAGCATAAAACGCGGAATTGTTGGTAATTGTGATAAACAAATCGTGTAGAGAACACCACGCTCCAGACAAACTATTTCAACATTTCTCATCAAACTTTCCGACTTTTCCTACAAAAACTTTTCCCACCTTGACAATGGTTGTTATCACCTTATAATCGGGTGCTAGGTTATACGCGTACGATAAGAAACCCCTTTGCACGGAAGCCTTGACATAGGCCAACTGGAGCGTGAGTCTTATCTCGAATGGCTAAAAGAAGAAATAATACTTTAGTCATAGATCGTATGATTCTATTCGACAACGTAATATTCATAATTTTTAATCAACCATCGTGGTGATTTCGAAGTTTTCCTTAAGTAACAGCGATTGGTCGCGGTTCAACGTGAATAACTTTAATTTTGCATAACACCTTCAATCAAAGTAATTGATTCCCAATTCACCATTGCAGACTTGCACCATGTCCGCGATAGACGCGCTCTACAATCGTCCTGGGCCCAACCGCCTAAGGCAGGCGGAAGCCTACCGCACCACCAACCGCGAGGATGCCGTCAAGATACGGATGGCCAAGGATGGAATCGGCGCAGAGGAACCCATCTCAGTGCCCGGCCTGCTGAAGCGTACGGTCAACAATTACGGCGACTATCCTGCGCTGCGCACCAAGAACGGCAAGAACGGATATCACACTGTCACCTACAAGTGAGTAGCGCTAATCGAATTGCTGGCCGATTGGCAATTTGCGCGCGATTCACTTAACGCTAACCGGATTATCCGCCTGCTCTCACCCGCAGACAATATGAGCAGAAGGTGCACCAGGTGGCCAAGGCCTTCATCAAACTGGGCCTGGAGGAACACCACTCGGTGGGTGTGCTGGCCTTCAACTGCGCCGAGTGGTTCTACTCGGCCATGGGCGCCATCCATGCGCGCGGCATCATCGCCGGAATCTACACCACCAATTCCGCCGATGCAGTGCAGCACGTCCTGGAGAGCTCACATGCCCAGATCGTGGTCGTCGATGACGCCAAGCAAATGGACAAGATCCACGCCATCCGCGACAAGCTGCCCAACCTGAAGGCCGCCATTCAGATCCAGGAGCCCTATTCCCCCTACTTGAAGAAGGAGGACGGCTACTACAGGGTGAGTAAACCCCTTCGAAGGTCTAAGCAAGAGGTGTTCATTTATCTCATCTTCCTCAGTGGTCCGAGATCGAGTCGATGAACGTGAGCGACGTGGAGGATCAGTACAAGACCCGGCTGGAAAACGTGGCGATCAACGAGTGCTGCTGCCTGGTATACACCTCCGGAACGGTGGGCATGCCCAAGGGCGTGATGCTCTCCCACGACAACATCACCTTCGATGTGCGCGGGATCGTCAAGGCCATGGACCGGGTGGTGGTGGGGGCGGAGTCGATCGTCTCCTACCTTCCGCTCTCGCACGTGGCCGCCCAGACTGTGGACATTTACACCTGCGCCTTTGTGGCGGGCTGCATCTGGTTCGCCGACAAGGATGCGCTGAAGGGAACGCTGGTGAAGTCGCTGCAGGACGCGCGTCCCACGCGTTTCATGGGCGTGCCGCGTGTCTACGAGAAGTTCCAGGAGCGCATGGTGGCCGTGGCCAGCTCCAGCGGCAGCCTGAAGAAGATGCTCGCCAGCTGGGCCAAGGGCATCACGCTGAAGCACTACATGGTGAGTCAAGGGTAAGTATTCCCCCGATGAGGCCTCTTCTTTAAATACTTCAACTCCGACTTTGTGTGCGCATAAATTATGCAAAAAGGATGCACAGTTAAAGTGGCTGCAGCGACAGAATTCCACTCGCAACTCCCATTCCTGCATTTTTCATGATTCACCCAGCTTTTCGGCCAGCTTCCTGGCCAAGAAAGCTAAGAGCCCACCAGCTTTTAGGTGCACAGAACGGAATTGCGCGCCATTAATCATTGTATTGAGAAGAAGGTATTTTAAACGGAAAAGAAAAATCTAAAAATTAAAAGCCAAATTTAATTTAGCTGGCCCTGTTTAGTTTGCTCCAAAAACTTGCTGGTTGGCAACATTTGTTCTCTGTGTACATGTGTGCCGAGTTTCGGTGTCCGCTAAATTATGCAAGCCAAGCGGGCCGACAACGCTTCTTAAAGCGAAAATCACTGACAACAACATTACTCATACGTCACGTGGAGCACGCCGGCAGCTCCCGCTGCTCGTGCTGCTCCTGGTGCCGGAATGTACCAGAAAATAGAAAATGCAGGAGGAGCAGGACCACGACGAGGAGCACAGCCAGGACACGCCATGCGGGCACGTCCTCTTAAGTAAAAGCGGGTGAATGGGGAGCAAAGAGATAAGTGCGGAACTAGGGGGAGATTCGTTTAAGTGCAAATACTTTTTCAGTGATTGAAGCATTAGGAAACCCATCAGGCGATCCAAGATCAAGCGAAACATTGAAAGTAATTGAGGGAAATTTAAAGCGAAAGCTGCGCATTTAAGGCTTTACAAATTATGCTGGCTATTTAGAATGCATTTCCAACAGAATTTCCAACATGGTTATTTTACGGTCTAATTTAAGCGAATGGTATTATACTAGTTAGGGTGCATATTACACAATCAGCTTGAATTATTCGCAAACACCACCCATTACAAGTACCCAAACTGCCTGCCAACCTTCAACAAAACTCATCAGTCAACAAAGCTAATTAAACTTTTTGCCCACAACTTCTCGCAGCAAGAGCTCCGGGGGATTCCGGTACAAGATTGCCAAGTCGCTCATCATGTCCAAGGTGAAGCAGGCCCTGGGCTTCGATCGCGTCCTGACCCTGGCCAGTGCCGCAGCTCCCATGTCGCCGGAGACGAAGAAGTACTTCCTCAGTCTGGACCTGAAGATTGTTGATGCCTTCGGCATGTCGGAGACGGCCGGCTGCCACACCATCTGCCTTCCAGATTCCGTGGGCCTGAACACAATCGGCAAAACTCTGCCTGGCTGCGAGTCCAAGTTCATCAACAAGGACGCCAACGGCCACGGAGAGTTGTGCATCCGCGGACGCCACGTTTTCATGGGCTACATCGACAACAAGGAGAAGACCGAGGAGTCGCTGGACGACGACTGCTGGCTGCACTCCGGTGACTTGGGCTTTGTGGATGACAAGGGATATGTTTCCCTGACGGGACGATCCAAGGAGATTATCATCACCGCCGGCGGCGAGAACATTCCGCCTGTGCACATCGAGAACACGATCAAGAAGGAGCTGGATGCCATTTCGAACGCCTTCTTGGTGGGCGAGCAGCGCAAATACCTCACTGTTCTGATCACTCTTAAGGTGAGTCGCGAATCTTAGTTAATTTTTTGCCCAGCATCTAAGTGCTTCTGTTTTCCAGACCGAAGTGGACAAGGAGTCCGGCGAGCCCCTGGACGAGCTGAGCCACGAGTCCTCCGTGTGGATGAAGTCGCTGGGAGTGGAGCACAAGACCATATCGGAGATCCTGGCCGCAGGTCCCTGCCCCAAGGTGTGGACATCCATCGAGGATGCCATCAAGCGCGCCAACAAACAGTCCATTTCCAATGCCCAGAAGGTGCAGAAGTTCACCATTCTGCCGCACGACTTCTCCATTCCCACCGGCGAACTTGGACCCACCCTGAAGGTCAAGCGCAACGTTGTGTCCAAGATGTATGCCGATGAGATCGAGAAGCTATATGCCTAGACTTCCCTCTGCGATATCGAAACTGAAGACAGCCGCGGAACTTGAGCTTTAATGTGAATTTGAATTTACCGGACTTCCAAGCCAATTGAGTGCCACTTTTAATTTGATTTAGGCTGATGTTAACTGTTGGATATTAAACTTAGAACAACAATGGCCCTATGCCTAGGTAGACACTAGCTCGCCAACGATTAGGTCCAGAGATCTTTTAATTAGTACCTAAGTTTTATTATTTTATTTTTTATATATTTGGTTGTACCAACTGAACAAACGAAAATTGTTTATTGTCTGAAGAGCAACAATAAATTTGAAACTAGACTTTTAACTGCCGTTTCGGCTGTTTCAGTAACCTTAGCTTTTGGTAATAAAAAAATTAATTCACTTTATTGAACAGTTCAACCATGTGAAGGGTTGGTCAGCAATGATGCAATTACTCATCTTAATATTGCTCCTATGATTCCGGTTCGTTGGTCGAATCCTCCTCCGCCCCAAGTCCCTTGGCGAGTCGCTCGGCGACACGCTGCATCAGCTCCTCCATGCTCATCTCGATCTGGACGCAGGCACGACGTCCCGGATCGAATCGCTGCTCATGGCCGCACTGCACCCGTTCGCAGCGCAGGCTCAGGCTGAACCAGCTGCTCGCGTCCTTGAATCCCGGCCAGCACTCGCACTCGTTGTGGGCCACGCAGTGGCTGTGCTCGGGACAACCACCCTGGCAGACGGGACGACAGACGAGCTGGTGGCCAGTGGTGTGCAGGTGCGATGGCTCGTAGCCCCGCTGGCAATGACAGCGATCCGGTTCCGCACAGTAGCTGTGGGCGGGACACGCCTCCTGGCAGACTGGCTCACAGAAGCCAAACAGAATGGTCCGATATCCCGGGCAGCACACCTGGATGTTGTCCCAACGCACCCGCTCCTCGTACACCACATAGCTGTCCATGTCGACTGGGTGGCTGGCATTTGAAGGACCTGCCAGGCGGCTCTTGGCCACGGGCACCTGGTACTTCACACTGATGTTCTTCTGGCAATGCCCATTGGTGATGGCCAGGCTGCTAACCTCCAAGTGGATCGTCATCAGGACGAGGCCCAACACAGTATACAGCACTTGTTGCAGCATTGATGCCATTCCCTTTGGGCTGGGTTACTTGATTGTGCGTACGTCGTCGCAAGTGCACTAAACGCAGCAGCCGCAGATTAAGGAGAAACCCAATCCGATTCTTCTGCTGCAGCTCACTCGGAAAAAATGCGACTTCCCAACAATGAATCAAAGAAAAATAATAAAATATGGCTTCATTTCATGGATATATCTCCCAACATATGACTTACATACGATTCCGTAAGCATTGTAGTCTCTAAATTTAAACCTATTAGGCCATTTGGAGAAGTGGCAAGAGTGTAATTGGTAATAATCAGAAAACTCTCCAAAAGAATAATCAATATGTATATACTGGATAACTCACAAAATATAGCTATCCATCTCCGTTAGCCAATAACTTCATTTGCAGTAAAGTTAATAATACATTCAATTTTTTTTGGTGTGCATCATCTGAAACTTCGGTCGTTCGCGGTCTTTGGTCGTATGATAAGTGCGGTCTCTCATTATTACTTCTTTTTGCTTCGCCCGCCGTTCTTATCAACAGCATTGGAAATGTACCAAGACGACCGTTTGGAGAGTGGAGAATCAGTATGGCTCCAGCACGTTGGCTTTGGTTGCAAGTGGGTTCGAATCGAACTCAAGAATATAAAAGAGGTGCCGGGTACCCGTACCAACCGATCGATGCAACGTGTTTGTTGGTATATTATTATACCCCTCACTCGTACAGTGAAGGGGTATACTAGACGCGTTCAAAAGTTAGTTACAGTCAGAAAGAACCGTTAATCAGGACCACTAGCCAAGTGACTTTGATGACAGCAGTGATCTTAAAACTGGAATTAAACTCATCTAGACTTGCATTACCTTACAGCCCAACTTAACTATTGTATTAGGATACGAACATAATATATGTATGTACGTAACGAAATCAGCTGAGTAAATGGATTTCTTCAACTGGTTCTAAGTCTAAGCATGTGGATGTACGTCATATGTAAATACTTGGGCGTCTGCTAACAAGCTCTTGCTGCGAAGATTGTATGAGCGCATGTACTTACACCTGCCAAGAAACCATAGTCATTTAAAAAATATTGTATTTTAAAAGCGTCTGTTTAAAGCCAAGTATGCTTAGGAACATTATTTCTACAACACATTTTATGAACAAAAAATATTTAAAAAAAGGTTACCAGGGGAAATCAAAATGTAAGCTTCAGTCACTTAAAAGTTTTAAGTTGAAACCATCATAAAGAGCAAGCCCCAATAATATATATATTTTTTTGAAACTGTCTAAAAATTGAACACACTAAACAACAATACAATTCTAAGCGATCTTTAAGATTCTGGAAACATACATAAATGTTTATAATCCTAAAACCAAAAACTCAGCTTGTTTTTTTCCAAGTGTAAAGCAACATACAACTCGACAGCGAGACGGACTAGGCAACCAGACACGTGTTTGTTTGCTAGCCGAGCTCTGATGGATGCGGATGCTTTCCGTCGCTGGGTGCACGGATGCTCGGGGAGCTCGGGTGTACCCACGAGTCTTTGGGTATACGGGTGGCACGGTAGAGTTGTATGTGCCGGGCGGTTTTGCATATGAGCTTTGTGCGTTTGTGTTGCTCGATATATACAAATAAACATAAGCAGCCAGCAGGCGAGCAGGAACGATTAGCAGGCCGAAAGAGCAGAGAAGCGTGTGTGTGGTGTGCAATGCTCGCATGTTGCTGTTGTTGGTGTTGTTGCTGTTGTTGGTGTTGCTGTTGTTGTTGTCGCTGCGACGGCACTGTGTAGTTATGGGTTGTTGTGTTGACGGGGGGTGGGTCGGGGCGCGGGACGGTTAATGTTACCCCATGAAAGCTAAAACGGTAACGGGCGACGTTCTCACAAATTCGTAGGTATGTAACGTACACATGCTTACATACCCGTCTATCTACATTCCCCACCGTGTGTGTGCGTGTGTGTGTGTAATGAGCAAAAGCACACGGGGCAGTGCGAAAGCCAAAACCAGAAATGGAATCAACATGAAATGTAATAGGTGACGCCGAGGAGAGTATTCAAATATGCAAAGCTGCACCGCAAAAAACTACCGATGGGAACGAGCGTAAAGAGAGAAATAAGAATGAGGTGAGCGTCACAAATATGTACATAGCTTATAATTCTCAAGCACTAGGAGCACTAAATTAAAGTGACCAAGGCACATTTATTACGATGCTTGGTAGTCATTAAAATTGGTATACAACCAACAAAAATAATTGTTGACACACAATATTTCTTATTTTCTTTATTTTGTTATACTTTTATTTGCAGACTTTCTTCCTTTCTCTCTCTGCATGAACATGTGAGTATGTACTACATATGTAACTGTATGTAGGCAGAGCGACCTGTTCGCATGCCAATCAGCATGTGTGTTGTTGTATGCCGGCCCTGATGACGTAGCCGCTCACGGAGATTGCTTACCGGCACGCCATCGCTCGCAGCCAGCGTCTCTGCCGGCGTCGCAGTCGGCGGCAGCGCCGCAACAACAACAGCGAGCTTAGAGGAGCAACAACTTTATTTGTTGTGATTATCGGCCGGCGGCGCTTAGCGAAGCGGCTACAGTTGTTGCCGGAAAAGTGAGACAGGAGCGTGGCACAGTGGCGGTCAGAAATAGAGTACTCCTTGTGAAAAGTTAGGCAGCGTTCCAAGTTTCGCGAAAGTAATACAATTAATAGTAAAATTAAACGATTCCTTTAAGCGATATCAAACGATTCGCAAATAATCATATATATATGTAAAAAACAACTAAACTGGCCAGTGTTTTTACAACGAAATATATGTTATGAGAATATTTAACATTAATGTGCACTGCTTCTCCTCAGGTATTCGGAAAAGGAACATCTTCTACTCGATTTCTTTTATTGCCCCCGATATTGTTTTAGTTTATAAAATAAAGGCATAGAGAGCAGGCCAAGGCGTTCTGCTCCACTTGAAGAAATCATAAAAGTCATTTCAGAAAAAAGTAAAAGCAGAAGGCACAATCTCCGCTCAATCACCACCATTGTTTTAAAAGTGACTTCAGAATTTTCCACTGATCAACAATGACGACAGAAAATCAATGGCATTCCAATCGAGAGGGAGAGTGCGTGGATTACAGCTGATAAGGCGACGCCATCACATCGCTATCGATAATAGTCACAGTAATGATGACTATTTCACGGGTGCATCCATATGCAAGGCCCGGTGCCGTAGCGCCGACTATCTCCAGGAACTTATCAGCGAAATGCACCCAAGCTGAACTTGTGACTCTGCTGACGACAGACTCGAAAAGGGGGTCAACGTCGTACATTAGTTTTTACTTTAGCAATCCATACTTAATTGCAGATGAGTTTGCATTTTTCTGCTAGCTTCTAGTTATTATCAGGGCTGTCAGCCTAGAATTGATTACAGTCCGTACTTTCCACATTCTGCATTGTAACAAGCTGCTTGAAATAGATCTTTAAAAATACAAAGTACACTTACATTTCAATTGTTGATTATTCCTAACGATATTTTCCAATCTCCATATTCAAATGTCAGCAATGCTATACTTGAAAGGTAAATAAATAAAGTTAAATAACTGATTGCTTAATTTTTTATTTTATTTTAATTTCACTCTGGGTGAAACGTATCCCACCTTTCCATTTCATACCTTGCATTCCACCTGTGAAGGGTATCCAATAGCCAATGTACGTTTCATGGTTTTCTAGACCTGCGACGACTTCGTCGCCTGGACATCGATCTCTGGCAAGACTTCTCATCATTTTCGTGCTAATGCTGGCATTAAAACAGTTTTAAATACCGGTTGCCATATTGTAATTGCCACTTATGAGGCTGACCAGTCGGTTCCGATGGAGGGGCAAAGAAATAGAACCAGAATCGGTGAACGAGAGAGAGAGAGAGAGAGCGGGGTCTGGGCTGCGAGTGTGAGTAGGGCGGGGTATAGAAATGAGTTTGAATGAGTTGCAGGAGACATACAGATGTACATATGTACATCTTATGTATGTACGGATGTACATACTCGAACATACTCGCACTGGTTCGCATGTATGTCGCCCGTCCGCTTGTTTGTCAATATGTACAGGGTACACATGTTATTTGATTTTCGTTTCGCTTTTTATGTCTGCGATGTGCTGTGGCTGTTGTTGCTTTTGCTTTTGCTGTTGGTACATGAATATAAATGCTGTTTATCTCTACCCCCCTTTTCCGCCCCACAAGCCCCTTCCCACGCGTGTGTGTGTGTGTGTGTGCGTGTGTGCGTGTGTGGCTCGAGAGTATGTGCACGAATGTGTTTCCTTATTGTTGTGTGTACTTGTTTGTTTGCTGCTAGTTGTTATTGTTGCTCTTGCTTGCTGCTTTGCTCGCATGAACTTTTTGCTTTGGCTCGGCTCTTTCACGCCTGCTAATCAATGCTGTGCGCCGGGTGGTTTTGCTATATCTATATGTACACAAACAAATCTACAAAAGTCCCAGACATGTGCCACCACCACCCATTCGCAGCACGCCGCCCACCGCCCAACGTCCCTGCCACGCCCACAGCCCGCACATTAGGTCACTCGATGGGCGTGTAAATATGTACAGAGCATATTGTTACACATGCCGGACGGATCGGCCGAATGGCTGAGGGCTTGCATACTCGTATCGATATAGCCCATAGATATGGCAAATCACTTTCAACACGTATCCGCCAAGTGGGCTCGTCTATGCGACTGTGTGTGGCGTACATACGCATGTCTGCATGTCAAATGGTCGGACGAATCAGTGGGCCACTCCGCTTAGGCTGGACCATGTAGTCACTTAATATGCCCAATATGCGTTAGATAATGAATGGAGATGTATTTCGAGGAAGTGCACCGACCGTAAGATTCCCTTCCATTATGTTTAGATATGCTTTAGATACTAAATGTTTTAAATACTAACTATACACTTTATAGTAGAATATTAAGGACTAGACTAATGAAATCATGCAAATTACTTATAAGAAATTAAAAGTATGGAGTGTATCTTACAGGTAATCGGCCTATTTAAAGATATGCAAGTAACTGCAACTGCCGAACCACCCTAGTCAAATGTAATGTGTCCAGTGTCCGTTTTATTGTTAGCTTCACTGCTGGTTCCCATTCAAAGTGGGCTTTTCCTTTCCACATACCGCTGCCAATGCCGATGCGGCTATGTTTGCACCAGGTCCGTACATACGATTACATCTGCTTTGACGCCCCACCGGACCCCTGCCCGCATATATATTATACATACTCGGATTTTTATTCTTTCCTGGCATTAGTTGATATAAATCCCATGTACCGCACTCACACTCGAGAGCACATGTATACATGCGAGATATCTATATAGTTGCGAGCGGAATAAAAAAGACGAGCAAGGAAAGCAGAATATTGCAACTATTTGTGTTGTAGTTTTGATGCAATAAAGCCCCCGTCACACCCCCAATGCCATCGAAATGCCCACAGCCAACGGCTGCACTTGTTACCGATTCATGAGCTGCTGTTCATTGGTAAATAATTTCATAATAATGTTGTTGTGCAGGCATAACAAAAGATAAGCTGCGAATTGCAACAATTACATTTGAGTTAATAATATTTTCGTTTTATCGAATGGCCCGATTGTCAACGCATTGGGGGCACGTTTTTCAGTGTACGCCACTGGCCGGTCCCCTTGACATTTAGCAATAAAATAAATTAAACAATAAATTATAAATTTGTACAAAAAATGACTGTTCCTCGAACAGGCGACCAGAAACACCAGCCGACTGCGAACCCGCCTGCGATTTGTTGTTTTTCAGCTGGCCCGTGTGGGAAAGTTTTTTCTCCCCCGGTTTCATATGTGACGAAGTGCGTGTGTGTATGCGGCATATGTCTAATGCGCCCCACTGACCAAAGTGGGTAGTACGGGCTCCGGAGGGGGTAATTCCGGCCGTGTAACCACGTTTCCCACTCGTCTGCACTACCTGGTCACGGGTAGTAAGGGTATTTTTGCACATCTGCATAGCGCATGGATATACCAGTAGACTATTTCGTACTCACGCTACCTGACCGAAAGTCTGAGCCAGAGTTTTCAATCCAAAATCCAAATAACCATTTCGAATTTAACAACTAAACTGCATTAGAGGTTAGTTCGTTTTATTTGAGAAAGTGCAATATACTGCATAAGGTTTAACCCGACCAATTAACCCCATTACCGACCGCAGCTTTCCAGCAAAATTATTTTTCACATTTCCCCAGGGGCACATTTGTTACTGCCGTTTGCGTTAGATCAGTTCTGTTTTGACACCATTCGGAGGTTATCTTTATTTCATTTGTTTTATGACTATCAGTTTTATTAAGATCGTACCAAAAAGAGGATTTCACCGTTTTCCAGTTAATATTTTATACACCATCACTGACCTGATCCCTCTTATCAGCCACGCCGTGATCCCACTCCCAATTCGTAACACGCGTCTAAAGGTCGGCCAATGTATTTCAAATAGCAGACAAGAACTCTTGACTAATCGTTGCTTGTGGCTCAAGTGATTACCAAAGGCGGTAACCTATTTATTGCTCCCAGGCACTTGGGCACAGATTACGAATAATTCATATATTCATATTTATTTAATCTTTTTAACGAACATAAGAAAATACTGTTCACACCAGAGACTTGGTTGTCCTAGAGGCAACTTCATAGGAACTTCACCTCAAGACTTGGAGACTCTTATTACAACTACCTTTGCAGATGGAATAGCTATAACCTTTACTAGGATCATCGAGGCTTGTCGTTGTTATCAGTTCTTGAAATTCAATGAAAGATTGAAAGATTCAACGTCGTGGTTAGGATCCGCCGTCTCGGTTCGTATCTCCGAGTTCTCCGCCTTCTACAAATGTCCGGTCTTATCAGCATCTGGCGGCGATGGCATAAATACCCGTGGTGAGAACCTGACCGAGTTCATTCGTCGCGATCGCCTTCAGCATGAACGACCTCAAAGCAGCTACGAGTTACAGGAGCACTTCGCTTCACGAGGCAGTCAAGCTGCGCCTGGATGAGCCGTCATCGTTTTCACAGAAAGTCCTGCCTCAGACGATTCCAGAATTCTTCAAGGAATCGTGCGAGAAGTATTCGGATCTGCCCGCCTTGGTGTGGGAAACCCCAGGATCTGGGATCGATGGTTGGACCACGCTAACGTATGGCGAGTACCTGGAGCGAGTGGAGCAGGCGGCGCTGATGCTGCTGAGCGTTGGGGTCGAGGAACGCAGTTCAGTGGCCATCCTGGCCTTCAACTGTCCCGAGTGGTTCTTCGCGGAATTCGGAGCTTTGAGAACTGGAGCTGTTGTAGCCGGAGTTTACCCGAGCAACTCGGCTGAGGCCGTTCATCACGTCCTAGCCACGGGAGAGTCCTCCGTTTGCGTGGTGGACGATGCCCAGCAGATGGCCAAGCTGAGGGCCATCAAGGAACGTCTGCCTCGCCTCAAGGCGGTAATCCAACTGCACGGACCCTTTGAAGCCTTTGTCGATCACGAGCCCGGTTACTTCAGCTGGCAGAAACTGCAGGAGCGGACCTTCTCCAGCGAACTCAAGGAGGAGCTGGTGGCCCGGGAAAGCAGGATCCGTGCCAACGAGTGCGCCATGCTGATCTTCACCTCGGGTACAGTGGGATTGCCAAAGGCAGTGATGCTGTCCCATGACAACCTCATATTCGACACAAAGTCCGCGTCCGCACACATGCAGGATATCCAAATTGGCAAGAAGAGTTTTGTGAGCTACCTTCCGCTGAGCCATGTGGCTGCCCAGATTTTCGATGTGTTCTTGGGTCTTTCCCATGCCGGATGCGTCACATTTGCCGATAAGGACGCGCTGAAGGGAACGCTGATCAAGACCTTCCAAAAGGCGAGGCCAACGAAAATGTTCGGCGTTCCCCGCGTCTTCGAGAAACTTCAGGAGCGTCTGGTTGCCGCGGAGGCCAAGGCGAGACCCTACTTAAGATTACTTGTAGCAAGTGCTAGAGCTGTTGTCGCTGAGCACCAAACAACGCTGATGGCGGGGTAAGTACAGATAGTCAAAAGTAATATTATCAAAAATTATTTAAGGTCACTAGTCAGACATGACATCGCATTTGGAACAGCCCTTTGGCGGATCCATTTGTTGAAAATCTTTAAAAGTGTAGACTTTATTTGAAAGCCCAATTTAAAAATATATATATTTAATCTCAATTTTAGTTGATTAATTTGTCTCTTTGTTTTTTTCAGTAAATCACCCTCCATTTATGGCAATGCGAAGTATTGGCTGGCGTCTCGAGTAGTAAAGCCAATACGCGAAATGATAGGACTGGACAACTGCCGCGTTTTCTTCACCGGCGGAGCACCAACTTCGAAAGAGCTGAAGCAGTTCTTCCTGGGACTGGACATCGCCCTGGGCGAGTGCTACGGGATGTCGGAGAGTAGTGGTGCTATCACCTTAAACGTGGACATAAGCAACCTGTACAGCGCCGGTCAAGCGTGCGAGGGAGTGATTTTGAAGATCAATGAGCCCGATTGCAATGGCCAGGGAGAGATTCTGATGCGGGGTCGCTCGGTTTTCATGGGCTACTTGGGACTGCCGGAGAAGACTGAGGAAGCGGTCAAGGAGGATGGCTGGCTGCATTCCGGTGACTTGGGCTACATCGATCCCAAGGGAAATCTGATCATATCCGGGCGACTTAAGGAGCTGATCATCACCGCCGGCGGGGAGAATATTCCACCTGTGCACATCGAGGAGCTGATCAAGAAGGAGCTTCCCTGCGTGAGCGATGTGCTACTTATCGGCGACCATCGGAAGTATCTGACCGTCCTGCTGTCCTTGAAGACGAAATGCGATGGCAAGACAGGCATTCCACTGGATGCTCTGCGGGAGGAGACGATGGAATGGCTGCGGGACCTGGACATCCATGAGACCCGTCTCTCCGAGCTCCTACACATTCCCGCCGATCTCCAGCTCCCCAATGATACTGCCGCTCTGGCAGCTAGCTTGGAGATCACCGCCGAACCCAAGCTCCTGGAAGCCATCGAAGAGGGCATCAAGCGAGCGAACAAGTATGCCATTTCAAATGCCCAGAAGGTCCAAAAGTTTGCCCTGATTGCTCATGAGTTTTCCGTGGCCACCGGAGAGCTGGGTCCCACGCTGAAAATCAGGCGGAATATTGTCCACGCGAAATATGCCAACGTCATTGAGCGGCTGTACAAGTAAAAGTAATCTCTCAAATGGATTTCTTAGCCTAGGTTTAAGTTTTATTTCACTCAATCGTTTACATTGTAATGATCAATTACGAAATTCTCTTATCATCCACTGCATTATGAACTGAATATATTTTTGTTATTAAAGCGTTGCATGTTTTATTTTTAAAGTGGGCTGATGGGCTGCCACTGAACTTTGCTGACGTACTGAAATAAACAAGCGGGTTATCGATAAGGGGAGAAAGTCAGGCCCATCAATTTGATTAGTAAATGTGGTGCACATTATAACTGATTTAATTATAACATTAGCTAATTGCCTAACAATTTAATAGCTTTTTTAAAGATTCTGTTTGGATCAGTGATTAAAGCTCACTTTAAAGGGGTCAAACATTTACAATTTGTTAACAAACCACATTTTGCAGCATCTTTTGGCCCAGTTTACGTTTCTCATTGCGATCCACGAATCGTCGCAACCACCGGAGTCCTGCAAAAGCCATGGCAATGGCCACCAGCATCCAGATGATCACCGATCGTGAATCAAAGCGATCTGTGGGAATCTTGGGCCAGGTGAGAGGTGGAGGCGAAGGATTGGTCTCATCATAGGCCACCTTAAAGAAAATGCTCCAAAATCATGTAGCAACTCGTATCGTTTCGGTTTTCACTTACCCCGCAATCGCAATGGTCTGGTTTTTGTTGCGGCACTCCACTCACATCCAGCAATATTATGGATCGATTACTGCCGCCTTCAATGCAGTCTATGCCCCTGATTTTGGTGGTATTTTCACTCCAATTATTAATTACTGTCCAGGGACGGGCGAAGTTAACGGACGTTGGTAGCTTACGCACCAAGTTAGCCACCAACCAATCGCAGCTCCAGTTATTATCCGCTAAGTTTACATAACGAAAATGAAGAAGACTGCTGAGGTTCACTGATTTGATGCGATTTGAACTGAGATCCACGTAGAGGGAAAGTCGATTGACTGACGGAGAAAGCCTTTGCAGAAAAGCGGCATCACTGAGTGCATTTCCCGACAACTTAATGTATCTTAGATGATTTTGATTAAGCATCATCTGAGAAGAAATCTCCCCTATTCTGTTGTTTGCAAGGACAATCTCTTCCAGTTGAGTGTTAACATGAAATAAAGTATCTGGCAGTGTGGTCAGTCGGTTAAAGCTGATATCTACTTGAAGAAGAGCGACTAGGGAGTCCAGGCTTTCGACGTATATTTCATCCACATAGTTGTGACTTATGTTGAATCGCTGTAATTAAATTGATTATCATTTCTTTTCCGCGCAAATGTTACTTTTTCAAGTTAAAGATTACAGACTCTGGATAAACAGAAATACATTAGTGATAAAAACCCACCTCCAATGAGTCCAATCCCGATAATGATTCCTTGTTGAGCTTAGTGATGTTATTATAACTCAAGTCCAGGTCCTGCAGTTCGAAGTTTTTGGAAAATACCGATGGCTCCAGCTGTTGTACCACATTATTCGACAGATTCAAGTGAACCAGTCGAGCCAGTCCTCGTTGGCTGAGAAACTGAAGGCTGCTCAGGAGATTTTGGTCCACTCGTAGACTCCGAAGATGGGTATTACTCTCAAAGGAATCCATCTCTATGCCCTCAATGCGGTTATGCTGAAGTGATAAGCTGGAGAGGCGATGGAGACCCCCAAAGAAACTACCATCTATATGCGCCAATTGGTTTCCGTTCAGATAAAGATGCTTTAAATGAGATAATCCATCAAAGGAGTCCTCCTCGATTTGAGAGATCTGGTTGTAACGCAAGTCGAGCTGTTGCAGCTGGGGATATATTCCAAAGCTATTGGACCTCAGCTTGCATAATACGTTGTGGCCCAGATCCAAATTGGTTAATGCTCCCAAGGGGTCACTGGACCAGGATCTCAGACTGCTCAAATTGTTGTGGGACAGGGAAAGGTATTGTAGCTTGGTCAAACCATTCAGCGCAAAATCATCCAAATCACTTAGACCACTGTGCTGCAGTTCCAGATGAAGCAGATGCTCAAACCGCACAAAAAAGGCATTTGCCAGATGCGGCAGGGTGCAGTTGCTCAAGGCGAGTTGCGTCAAGTGCTCCGTATTCCGTATCAAAGTCACCTCAGTGTTGTTGCACTTGCTCAACTGCAGGCAACTTATCATCGCGCTGAAGCTAAAGATCAGCAGAAGGAGACTACCTGGTAGTAGGTACATCGCGTGAGACAAACCTCCACAGACTAACTCCATGGACCTGGAGATCTGTAACTCAAGCCCTAATCTTATTGCAGCAGCTTGTAGCGCCAGCCGACAACCCGTCAAGATACGTAATCGCTTCATCAACTAGCCACCGTTTGCAGAGCCAAAATATTTGCCCACCTTTCAGTCAGCGGCAAAAAGCTCTGTTACTGTGTCAAGAACTCACCAAGTGCATAGCCAGATAATCGGCATTATATTGCTTTACGGTAGCTAATTTCTATTTTTTAGACTTAGACTAGATCCAATCTCATGGCAGTTACGTGTGCTTTAACACTTTAAGCTTGTTCATATTTTTGCTTAATAAAAATGCAACCCAAAAAATGGTATTTAATGTTCTAATATTAACATTTATTAAGTATTCGAACTCAAAAAACGTACAAAAGTGTATTGCAGCACTGCTTCCAATCAAGCATTCAATAAAAACTTTAAATGACTGAACGGACTTCATATAATGAAATTTCATGCAAGCGCAGCTGAAACCGAAAATGGTATAAAGCCTTTTGTTCAAACACATCCGCATATTTCAATTAAAGTATACATCAGCACAGTTGAAATCTCTTCACTGGCGCTCTGTTTTTATACTTGCTGGTCGATTTTGATTCGTTCTATTTGCGTTTCACCTGCATTTCAACATTTACTTTACCCTATTTGCTGATTTTGACGGCATTACGAAAAAGTATGTGCATATGTGGAATTCCAGTGAGAAATAGTTGTGCAGTGCTGCAGTCCTTGAAAAGAGGATAACCACAGCTGAAAACCACACCAAGCTCTGCAATGAACAGAAATGTTCATATATTGAACAAAACCAGAACCTCCCAAATAAAACGATTATGCCTACACAAATTCGCCTGTTGCCACATTGTTGCAATGTTTATTAAATTTGAGTCTGTGCCAAAAGTGCTGTTGGCTTTGTTGCTTGAGTGGGTGTCCGATTGCAAATGAGCGAAAGGTCGGCATAGTAATTTGAACTGAGCCTGAGTGCAATCCCGAAACAATCTTAGTGCCATCATAAAATAATTAGCGTGCGGTTGACTTTGTGTGCCAGGAAGACGGTGAACTAGGCGGAAAATGAAGAGCAATAAATTGTGTTTAGAAAAATATCAAAATGTACAAAAACAGCCATCGCAAAAAGTTGTAGTAGTGCCAAATATTTGGAAAAGTTAGATTTCTGTTTTGTAGCATACTTTTGGGCGGCGGAGAAAACTGTAGTTAAATATTACATATTCGCCTAGTAATGCGCAAGAAGCAACATTCTTTCAGCAATTTCTTCAGAATTTTCCTTAAACGTTTTCTTCTTTCACCCCAAGCCAATTGAATTCGATTTCCCTGCCTGAATGCGGTTTTAAATTATACTACCACAACAACTTTGAGCGGCGGACGAACTTTGACTTCAATGTTCCCGCAGATATAAACTCGGTCCTTGCGCTAAAATGACAAATTTAATATGTACTTCTTGTCTGCCGCTTGTTTGTTTGCCTTCTCGGCGCTTCAGCTGCATTTTCCTTTTTGGCCAATGCAATAAAAAAGAAGAAGAAATTACGATGACTTGGCCAAATGCCAGCTGGAGCACGCGGAAGGCAGAGGACGGCCGACACATTTGCCAGAAGCATTGCAGATGGTCGGGAGTTCAGGAAAAGCGGAAAAACGGGAAAGCAGGAAAAGGAGCAGAAGGAGGAGCTGAAGGATATCTACACACTCACCGAACTGTTTTTATTTGCCAGCAAGTCTGGAGACTCGCAGCTCTATTGCAGAGGCTCTCCATTTTGGAGTGTGTATATATGGGTATTAAAATATTTTCCTACATATTTCAGCTGCCAAAATTATTTCAATTTAGTTCCGCAAAATAAATTTGCTTCCGCTTTTGTCTTGGCTCTTGGCTCTCTCTGATTTCTTTCGTTTTCACGCGATGAACATGAAAGTGCCATATTATTTACTTACGCGAATCATATTTATGACAAATTAAGTCTTTGAGTCCCTTAACCGAAACCACTTGTCTGTAAAATTGAATATATTGGCTACTCGGAGACCAAATTTAAATATACTCCGCACTCAGAATTCTTTTACTTAAACGGGTTTCTTGCTAAAATGAAATATTTTAGTTTTATTTGAATGTTTATACCGCAAACTAAATGCTGCTCTATTGTTTATTGGCATAAGGTGAAATATTTACTCAGTTAAGACTAACGTTGTTTTCGCGCTTCATTCTTTTTAGGACCTACTTAATTTTTATTTATTTGACCTGACCCCTGTAGACTCTGCACATTAATTTCCCCTGAAATCAGACGAGCTTTCAAGCAGCTTGGCCCATTTTTCTCTTCCATAAATATTTCAATAGGCGCATTGTTCTTTTTACAAGTTTACGGGTTTTCTTTGCCAAACACCCACACAGGACTCATCCGAAATGCATGTCCCTAACCGAATTTCAACTTCCTCGACTCATTGTAATTGCAACTCTGAAGGTTGGCAATGTGCACACAGCGGTTCCCAAAAAATGGAGCTTAGTTCCCACACTTAATAGAATTTTTGGCTTATTTACTGAGCCAACAAATGCAATGGGATACAATGCGAAAATTAAAGAAACACCATTCATTTCCGGGCTGCAAATACTAAAATGTGTTACATTCGGTATTAAATTGAAATAATAATCACAGTTGAAAGTCTCAATTAATGTTTCGAAGCAATTGAATGGGATTAGCTGAAAAAGCACTTACAGTCATCAGGATCCTTTCTAAGCAAAAACTAACAAAGAAAGTTCTGGAGCTTTCATTAGCGGAAACGCCAGGCTGCATTCAGTCGGATAGTTCCGTTTGGACTTTCAGTTAAAGTTACAACAACTTCTTCCAGCTGCGTGTATGTGCCACTGTTTATTTATTTTGGTGTGCAGTTAAAATTTTGGCATGCCAACAATGGTCGAAAAGCGGACCCGGACACGTATGCGGATAGGGATTCGGATAAGGACCATGGCCAGAACCAGAACCAGAAGCAGGACCAGGACACGGTCCTGAAATCGCTCTGAAACTAGCTGACTTTCGAGCCACATTCACATGTATTTTTGCCTGCCGGGCGGTGGTGCTTTTCCGGCTCCATGCCGGTTCGTATTTAATTTCATTTGTGCCGCCCCAAACCGACTCCTAGTTCCTATTCGAATCCCGGTTCCAGGCCTGTAAAAACATTCCGTTTGTGGTCGCCCGACCAGTCCGGACTTCAATTTGTTTTCGTTCCACGATTCTGTGTTTTGCTTGCCGTGCTGCACAGCCCTCGTAATTTCAGTGCATTTTTTAGTGGGCGAGATGTGGGCGAAATTGGGGGCGTAGGCGGTGTTGTTTTAATTGCTGCTGACAACGAAACTTTCAGCAAATCAGAGTCGTGTTTATCCAAACGGGCAACTGGTAAAAAAGGATTTGCAAATGGGTGATGGCGAAATGATTGAATAATCGACGTAATTTTCTGGGTATTTGCGGTGGCTGTAGGACATAAACAAAACTAAAATGAATATGAATTGAGTGAAAAGTTTTGCATGCAAATTTTAATTCGGAATTCAGTACGGGATTGGGCAAAACTAATCTGGTATTTGTCTGGATAAAATATGAGTTATATAAAATCCAGATTGCCACTTTTGTGCATTCCACATTTATATTCAGATTATTTGCCAGTTTTTATCAATTTTGTACATACAAGTAACCGCACCATTTTTGACATACTATATACATCATTCTGATGGCAAGATTAAGCCATCAAGCGGCAGACAAGTTGGAGAGTGAGCTGCATTCCACGCTTCCTTTGCAGATGGCGATGCAAATTCGTTGACAGTCGTGTGCAAAGGGCGAATTGAGTGATATCTCAGCTTTCTCGGAGGCAACAGCCGTAATAAAGCCGCCCACTCCACTTCCCTGCACGCCCCCTTTCTCCTTTCTCCTTTCTCGCATCAAAATGGCTGACTGCACACACATTTCCGGAAGGGATCGCCGTGTTGCATGCCAATAAATCATAACGCTGTGACTCCGCACTGCACATTTATATATAAAGATATGTTCTGCGATGTACGAGTATGTATCGGAATGTGTGTGTATATATGTATGTAGCCAAAGGTGCGGGCCCAAGCAATGGCCATTTGCTGGATTCGAAGGGTTTGCAGAGCGGTAATGGTGCAATCGGCCATGTTATTATTGTTGCTGTTCATATTATTATTGTTCGTCATCGGCACGATTGAGTTCGTTTCGTTTGGCCCTTACGTTGTTGCCGGATAACTGGCTGCTCTGGCCAAGTTGACTTGTCATAAAAATTGAAATTGTTATCAACTCGTTCGTGCGTCCGACATTCAAGGATTATTGCATTAAAGCAGCCAGAACGAAGCAGTCGGAGTACAAACAGCGCACAGGACGAAGAGTGACTGCACAATGAGCATATCGCTTTCGGAACTGCAATATTAAATACCCTAAGAGAATGATGGTTGATGGGTGCTTAAGTGTCATTTCACTGGAATTTTTTGGCTCGAACGCATCTACAATGTGTACTTTGTGTCTATGGTGTCAGACTTTACTGCATGTGTCACAGCAAGTACCGCCCTATTTTGCCAAAATAACATTTTATATTTATAGAATTTATCGAGAGAACCACCGATGCCACCCGTGGATAAAGTATATGAAGCTGCCACCGGAGGGCTTAATGGAATTTTCGCGTTCAGGTGCCACGCCTTCCAAAGTAGCTGCAGTTGGTTAAACTTCCGGCTGCTTCGGACGGATTAAAATCCCGATAAAGTCTTTGTCCCCGATGCGTTCGCTTTCTGCCTTTCTCCTTCGATGATGGGCCGATATCAATACCGCCTGTTAAATCGCGCTGGCAACAGTATTGCCTATCGAAGTGCCAATAAATTTCCTCCACTCTCATGTCATTTATCACGTTTGACTCGATTGGAGATGAATAATGTGCAGCCAGCATCGATATGAAATGCCAAATGAGCATCGAGCATCAAGAGCCA